GCCTCTCCTGGGCCCCGTAGCGCCCCTCCTGGGCCCCGTCGCGCCCCTCCTGGGCCCCTCCTGGGCCCCGTAGTGCCCCTCCTGGGCCCCGTAACGCCCCTCCTGGGCCCCGTAGCGCCCCTCCTGGGCCCCGTCAAGCCTTCAGGCCCCGTCGCGCCCTGCCCGGCCCCGTCGCCCCCTGCCCGGCCCCGTGGCACCTGCCCGGCCCCGTCGCACCTGCCCGGCCCCGTCGCACCCGCCCGGCCCCGACGCACCCTGCCCGGCCCCGTCGCACCCGTCCGGCCCCGTCGCGCCCGCCCGGCCCCGTTGCGCCCCTCCTGGGCCCCGTAATGCCCCTCCTAGGCCACCGTCACGCCAGCAGGCCCCGTCGCACCCGCCCGGCCCCGTCGCACCGGCCCGGCCCCGTCGCACCCGCCCGGCCCCGTCGCGCCCGCCCGGCCCAATCGCCCTCGCCCGGCCCTGTCGCACCTGCCCGGTCCCGTCGCGCCCGCCCGGCCCCGTCGCACCCGCCCGGCCCCGTTGCACCGGCCCGGCCCCGTCGCACCCGCCCGGCCCCGTTGCGCCCTGCCCGGCCCCGCCGCGTTTGCCGGGCCCCGCTGCACCGGCCCGGCCCCTGCGCTCATCCCTGCCCCGGCCCCTTCATCCTCACTGGTACGGTTCCCCCCCCCCCCCCCCCCCCCTCCCTGCACCGCCCTGCTCCGCACTGCACTGCCCTGCACCGCACTGCACCGCCCTGCACCACCCCGCACCGCACTGCACTGCCCTGCCCCGCACTGCACCGCCCTGCACTGCTCTGCACTGCACTGCACTTCACTGCACCGTACTGTCCCGTCCTGCACTGCCCCTGATGGCGGCGGAGCTTCGCTTCGATGCTGAAGGCCAGCCTCTGGAGTTCGAGGTGGCTTGCCGACCTCCGGCGCCAACTCACTGGCCAGTGGCAGGATGGTGAACCGCTTTCCGCACACCTTGACGGTACGCTCCCCTGCCCAGACCCCCCTGCTATTCTGCCCGCTGACTCCACACCCACTGAGCGCGAGTCTACTGCTGCCACTGCCCGTGCGCGCTCTGTCTGGCTTTCTCGCGATGCTGTCACCCAGCTTGCCATTAGCAACGCCCTTCCCCCGTCCGAGCGCCCTCGCTTTAGGTCCCTCACTACTGCTCAGGCATACTTAGATGCTGTCATCAAGCGCTATTCCACCCCTCTGGCTGCCTCGGTGGGTCGCCTGATCCTCCCGATGCTCTTTCCTGACCTTGCATCTTTCCCCACTGTCTCTGACCTCGCTGCCCACCTGCGCTCGATAGATGAGACCTGGCGTGCTGCCTGCACTGACGCACAGCTTAGAGCCCACCAGCCGCCCATTACCTCTACCCTTACCTGCTTGCCACCCGCCTCCCTGACCGCCTTGCTGTCGCCCGCGACCACTTCCTTAGCATTCACCCCGCAGACCTCACCCTCACTGACTTTGTAGACACCCTGACTGTGATTGAGACCCGCCACCGCTCCATCGCCCAGGCGAGCGGTACCGTGCCGGTCCCTATATTTCAGGGTTGTGCCCCTGCTCAGTGTACCTTCTCCGACGGCTCTGCCGCAGTGGCTGAGACCGCTGCTGCAGCGCAGTTTCGTTCGGGGAAGGGCCGCCGCCCCAAAGTTGGGCGCGGCGGAGGAGGCGGGGGTGTGGGAGGGGGTGGTGGTGGAGTCGGGTCGTCTGGTGCTGGAGCGGACGAGGGGACCCTGCCCAGTCCAGCTGAGCCGCCGCCCCTGCAGTTGCAGCAGCCGCCGCAGTCGCAGCCTTCGCAGCAGCCGTCGCAGACGCGGCAGACGAGTGTCCTCCCGCCTGGGTGGCCCGGCGCTGGCGGTGGCCGTGCGCGTGGTGGTGTGCCGAGTGGTGGCTCTGGAGGCGTGCGTTGTCAGTACCAGATCCAGACCGGTCCTCGCCGCGGCTTCGTTTGCGGTAAGATCGGTCACTCCACTCCCCGCTGTTTTCGTCGCCTGGACGACCTCTTTCGTCAGCGCTTCGGCCCGTCGCCAGACCTTCCGGACTGGCACAGTTTGCTTAGTCGTAAGATTCAGATTTTTGACATGGACATGGATGCCATTGTTTCTGCTCTGCATGTGATGTATGCTGATGACTCTAGTGTGCTTCCCGCTTATTATTCACCGTCGGCTAGTGTAGGTGTGCCTAGCTTAGCCTCCCCTGCTGCGTCAGGCGTAGGATCCCCTGCTTTGTGTAGTCTTGGTGCTTCCGCCGTCGTTCCGTCGCCAGACGCCTCTGCTTCGCTTTCCTTCACCATGGATTCTGGCGCTTCCCGGTGTTTCTTCCGCGACTTCACCACCCTGACGCCGCTTCCTGTTCCAGCTGCCGTTTCTCTTGCTGACCCCTCCGGCGGTCCGGTAGTCGCCCGCAGTTCCACCACCCTTCCCTGTCCGGCGGTTCCTTCGGGCACTCTCACAGGTCTGCATATCCCCTCGTTCTCCAGGAACCTAGTTGGTGTCGGCTGCCTCCAGGACCTTGGCGTCACCACTACGTTCCCTGGTCACGAGCGGTATGCTGTCTGTACCGAGGCCGCCACTGGTGCCCCCCTGTCTACGTTCCCCCGGGACCCGGTGTCCGGCCTGTTCACTCTGGACACCGTGAACCCCCCGGCTGGAGCGCTCACCCAGGTTGCTGCTGCCTGCTCCTGTCGGTCCCTCACTCACCCGACTCTCCTTTGGCACCACCGCCTAGGTCACCCTGTGCTCCCGCGTCTGCGTCACATGTCCCAGCACGGTCTTGTCCTTGGTCTCCCAGGTTCTCTCCCCGCGTTTCCCTCCTCCCCAGCCCCACCTTGCACGCCTTGTGTCGAGGGTCGGCTTCGCCGTGCCCCTCACTCCTCCTCGTTTCCCTCTACCGCCGCGCCGCTGCAGACCCTGCACCTGGACGTCTGGGGCCCCGCCCCCGTCCCTGGGCCGCGTCGAGAGCGCTACTTCCTTGTGCTTGTCGACGACTTCACTCGTTACACCACAGTCTTTCCCCTGGAGCGCAAGGCCGACGTGCCTGGCGCTCTCATCCCCTGGCTTGTCGCTGCGCGTGTCCACCGCGGTCTCCCTGTCTTGCGTCTTCACTCCGACCGTGGTGGCGAGTTTGCCTCAGGTGTCCTTGGTCGCTTTTGTCGTGCGGAGGGCATCACCCAGACGTTCACCCTACCGGACTCCCCACAGCAGAATGGGGTCGCTGAGCGACGCATCGGTTTGGTCATGGAGGTGGCTCGCACCTCCATGATCCATGCCGGTGCACCCCATTTTCTGTGGCCGTTCGCTGTGCGCTACGCTTCTCACCAGCTTAACTTGTGGCCGCACCCTCAGCAGCCGCAGGTTTCGCCGACCCGTCTTTGGACTGGGTCTCCTGGTGACGCGTCTGCGTTCCACGTCTGGGGCTGCCCTTCTCACGTCCGTGCCTCCGGCACGGACAAGCTCACTGCCCGCACCCTTCCCTGCGTCTTCCTCGGTTTTCCCCTTGACGCGTCCGACTGGCACTTTTACCACCCGCCGTCTCACCGCTTCTTTCACTCTCGCGACGTCACCTTTGACGAGTCCGTCTCCTACTACCGTCGCTTCCCCCAGTGCGGTCCCCCGGTTACCCCCCCCCTGTTCCTGGTCACTCCTTTCCCGGTAGTCCCTGCCCCTCCTCCTCCTCCTCCCCGTCCTGCCCCCTCTGGTGTGTCCCACGTCACCCCCCTTCTGTCGGTAGACCCGGTTGAGGAGTCTTCTGACTCTGGTGGCCCTGCTGCGCAGTCCTCACCGGCCGCCCCTCCCCCGGCGTCCCCTCCCCAGTCCCCTCCTCCACCGCCTCTGCCGCCGCTGCAGCCGTCGTTGTCGCTGCCGCCGCCGCCGCCAAACAGACTGGACAGTAAGGTCCGGTTGTGGGAGCAACTGGGATCCATGAGCCCTTGCCGTCCTGGTCCATCTTGGAGTGCGGGATTAGGATCCACATGGACTCCTCGTCAAGCTGGATGTCATTCCACTGGATGGAGAAAAGGTCGGAGTAGCGGAGGAATGCCGCGAACATGAGGAGTGGGATCAGCCCTTTCTGATATTCTTCCGGGCTGCTTGACTCAAGAAAGGGGTGTGCCATGGCGTGCACCTGGTGGAGCGACAAGGGTTCCTTCGTCCTGGTGGTGCTCAAGCCGTGGCGTTTGGAGAATTCACGAACTTGTGAATTGAAGGGCCCGTTGGTGGGAGAGGGTTCTCCGGTCATCCGGTGTGCAAATGCGACGGCGGAGCACGTAAGGGATATGGCGGATATTGTGGCCTGATTGTTGAGGGCGTAGACAAGGTAGAGCGCTAGAGTGGTGTCTGTGGCAGGCTGGTAGCTGAGCTTGACCTTTGTGCAAAAGGAGCGGAACTTGAGCCAATACGGGTCGTAGGTCCTTATGGTGGATGGCGCGCAGACATGGGTGATGACCCGAAGTAGCCGTGTCTGTAGGTTTGATAATAAGCCTGAAATACAGAGAGCACCGGACACGGTGGGGTTATATTTTATATGTCACATGCAACGCGATGATCGGGCTATTGGGGAAACCGAGACACACTCACTCGCCTTTGCTGGTCTTGAGTGAGTGTGTGCCTGGGGATAGGCTGCCTTGAGTGAGGGGAATATGTGCCTTTACTTCTAGTGCCCAGGTTTGTGGTGATGGCTGCAGTAGGGGCCACCAAGAGGCTCCTGGCCACTCAGGGATGACCAGCGTCAACTCGGCATGGGTGCGTTGGGCATGGCGCAGAGTAGCCGGGATGAGGTGGGGAGGGGGAAACGAGAAGGCGTCAACCACTGTGGCCTTGGGGTATGGAATCTTGGACCAGAAGCGCCTCAGTTGAGCATTGTGAACGTTCGCGAATAGGTCGATAGAGTGCGGCCCCAGGCGGCGGTTGAGGAGTCGAAACCATGGGGATTTGAGTGAGCAAACATCTCGGTCCTCGAGTTTGGAGAATTTGTCGGCGTGCGCGTTCAGCTCCCGGGGAATCC